TCTCGCGAGGACTTTTCCATTATTGTCTCGAAACAGACGCCGCAAGATTTTTCTTTGCTGCGTTGAATGGCAAAGGATAATTCCATATCTGCTTCGTGTTGCTTCACGCATGCCTGTATAAAAAGTTAAAATATCATTCTCTAGCAAATATTCGATATATAATAAACTTAATAAATATTTAATATACAAAAATATAAAAAGTGAAAATATCATTCTTTAGCAAATATTCGCGCGCGATGTATAATAAACTTAATAAATATTAAGTTATCGAAATATAGTTAGATCCTACACATAATGGAAGAAATATTAAAAACAAAAGTAAATATTAAATATTAGAAATGAAAAAAAATTGGAAATAGAGATTAATGCATAACGTAATGCACAATGGATACAAATAAAATAAAGACAAATTTGTATATCTTATATCTTATTTGTATCCATTGTGCATTACGTTTCTATATCTAATAATATTTAATATTTATTTTTTTCCTAATTATCCGTCGTACGCAGTCTTAAAAATTTAATAATAATCGTTTAATTTGCTCTCAATATCTATCTCACGCAAAAAATAGACATACAGAATACAACCCATAAAATATTTAATTCAATATAATTAGTAAGATAACAACGAAGTAAGAACTTACATTGTTATGTTTCTTCCTCAATTCTTCATTGTGTGGATGAAGGACCGCGCGGCTACAAAATTCGCAAATGTCACCGTGTAGATATGTGCAATTTGAATTTCTACAGATTCCAGTTGCTTCTGCATAAGGACACAGAGGTTCTAAGGAGGGGCTCGAAGCTTGACCAGTTGGATTAACAGCTTGAGCATACGAGACTGGCATCGACGTGCTTGGAGATGTTCCTGAAGTAGATGACATTCCATCTATAGAGGATGATCCAGCGATCGGAGATCCAGTCGTAGGTATAAACTCAGGTGCCTTGACCCATTCTTCAGCAGTACGTTTTTCAGCTTTTCTGCAATTACACAAATCATTACATGTATGATTTAACTAGTGTACATATACCGGATGTTTTTCAGATCACCCGTCACACCCTTTTATCTTTGCAGGATAAGGTCCAATCAAAAAGTGTTCAGACAAAAGTTGTAAGCCATAGCCAAACTTTATTCCCTATTCCGTAACTCTTAACGACAATGTCAGTATCGTTACATTGGCTGCGTTTAACAGAGAAAACTGTTCAATGATTCTTTAACATAATTAGTTCTGCCTTTAATTCTTCACTAGATCTAAGTGTAAGAATCAATTTCGTATTAAACTCACTGAGCATTCAATGACCATTTTTTTTTTGCTGAACGTAGCCGATGTCGTTGCATAACTTTTTTAAACCGGGTAAAATCTGTGCAACAATATAATGATTCTATATTGTTGTTAAGGTCCAGTTTTTCATTTCCTGGTTAACTTGTAGTTAGACTTAACCTGACGCTAATGTAAAAATTATATTTTTCTATCTATGGTTAATGTATAATCACTAAACTGATGATTTTGATCAACTATAGTGAATAACTATTAAAGTTACTAGTACAAAATCATTAATTTAGTGATTAATTATAACTAGAAAAAAATCAATTTTTACATTATCATTGAATTAAGTGAGGTTGAGTTAAGTCTAGATTACATGTTAACCAGAGAATGAAAAACCTGGCCTAAAAGTTACAAAATAAAGGGATTCTGTTGTAGAGTTTCTAGATTTAGAATTGAATGCACAAACAGGATTTATGAAATTCAAAAAAAATATCTTACTTATTTCTCGACGAGTTTGATGTATGATGACCCGAGGCTGCGTTCTCCGTTGCATCTATCTGCATGGCGTTGCTATCTGTGGTACCTGAACTGTGGCGGAAACGACACTGACTGCCGAATTTACACATTCCCTGTTTGAAGAAGCGACAAGTGACAATATAAGCAGAGCTATGGGTTGATGTTGCCTCGTTGATACTTGCATCATTTCTATTCCCTTGCACATGTCGATACCGGCAGTTGTTCCCCTCGCGGCAAGTGCCATTCTTGAAGTATCTAGAACAAAACATGTCGTTATTCGTTATGGTAAAAAAGCACAGGACAAAAATCATCGACGAGACACGTGTTCGCGAAAAATGCCCGTCGCGTTTGAAATCGTCGTGATCGCCGTAACGACAAGAGAGACGGATATCCGCCTAGTGTCAATATTTATATTATTGTGTTCGAGTGGCTCGATCGAACGTTGCTATTCCCTAACGCGACTAACCTCTCCATCTCGGTTTACGTAAATTTCAACTCGGGCGCGCAAATGTCTCCCGCGAGGAAACTCTCTGCGAAACACAAGACGCGCGAAACGCCCGTTATAGTCTCTTACCGGCAAGCGATATTCTGCGTCCAATTGTCGGCCATTTTCTCGTTTCTCTTCCGCCGTAACGATGATCGACGACGCGTCGTTCCTTGAAATGCCTTGGATGATGAGTCGAGCGCGCGTTCACTGTTAACTGTATGAAGAAGGAAGGAGAAAGAGAGAAGAAGGAAGAAGAAGAAGAGAGGGAGGGAGGGAGGAGAGAGAAAGAGATAGAGAAAATGCTTGCTTTCGGGCAGACCGACCGGAGCTCCGGTTCCTGCGATCGCGAGTGCCGCCTCGACGACAACAGCCAACCGGAGAGCAGCCTCCTGGTGCAACACAACCTCCTGGTGCAGGAAGCACGCTCGATTCTTCGTGCCACGCAATAAACACACTCCTGCGGATGCGATGTGTGCGTCGTGGAGTACGCGCGCGCGCACGTATCCGTCCGTCCTTCCTGCTCGCCCTCTCCAACTCGCTCCGCTCGCGCTCGTTAAAACGCGTGTCACCGCGCGGCGTAAACGTCACGCACTACCTTGCGCCTCGACCCGAGTGTCGCTCAAGTGTTGCTCCTCTTTCTTCACCACGGCCGTCGCGACATTAAATCCTCCTTTTCCGAACCGTGTGAGCACGCTCCAACTGTTTTGTCTCTGCCGGCGGTTGATGCGATCCTCCTTACTAACTCCTTCGTCGCTAACAAGTAGAATCCTTGGACACTTATTCTATAACACGATTAATTCGGTAGAAGCGACACGTTGTCGAGTTAATCGAGCGACACACTGAGCGGATCGCCAAGCACTGTCGTTCCCTTCCCGTTCCGACGAAGCGATTACCCACCTGACTGGCTCACAACAACCCGCACCTCTCCTCAAACCCAAGATCTTCTCATCGCACTCCAGTAGTCCAATACGAATCTCGTGCTTGAGAATCTTCCGAAACGAATCGTTCGAGTTGCTGGAAATAAGAGACGCGCACGATATCCACTGTGGTACTCGCGTGCACTCGCGTGCGAACACTTGAGTACTCACGCGCGGTCATTGAACTCGGCCGAGCCGCCCTGTTTGCTTATCGGCACACTTGCGTTCCACGTATTCCATAAATCGCAAACGGAACGTACATGCGCGTTTTCTCGTCGCCGCTGTCGAACCTGGAGGTCTCAAAAGAGTGATTATTTCGCGAAAGAAACTCTGGTCGCTGATGGTTTCGGAATTCGATTCCGCGGAAACGCCGTGAAGTTAGGCGCACGCTGTGAATTAATCGTCCAATGACAGCATCAGATTCCGTCCCCACGGTGGCTTCTTTTCACGGTGATTCGCTCGCTTGAATTATCTTCGAAACGGTAAATAAATCGGGATCGCTGGATTTTATTTTAAAAATCGCGCGCTTGGCACGATTGCTTTCGGACGGCGATAAATAACATATATTCTGTAAATATTCATATATTTTGTAATATTCTGTATTTTTGTAGATATTTTTTGTAAATCTTTGTCTTTGAAATTTATGATATTTTCTTCAAAATACATGGGATCTGGAAATGCAGAAGAGAGAGGAATTTAGAAAATCGGCGGAACATTCGATAATTCGCATGTATTCAAAGACAAAGGGCTCCGTTTTTGGTTGAGTTTTCCTTTCAGTTTGGCATTTTTTCGTTTATTATTATTATTCCGCGAAAATAGAGTTGTCATTCACCTAACATCAGAAATATCAACGTTTCTTACTAAAAAAATTGGAATAAATTACTATGAAAATAAAGAAAGTGATGATAAAACAAAAAAATATTTATCAATAAATATTCATCAATATAAAAGACATAAGTATTAAAAAATAAAAAAATTTCATTAGCTTATCTTTTACATGAAAAATATGTAATTAATTTAAAACATAGTAACGCTTCCAAGCCTGGGTATTTTTACATTTAAAATGTAATTCTAATCTATTATATATAAAATGCTAAATGTAAAATACTTAAAAAAATGTATATTAAAATGTACGAGTATATAGGGGGAAAACCATTCTGTATTTGAAAACTATTTAAAATATCTATTTACCCATTTTACATATAAAGTAGGATTCGAAAAACATTTTAAATACATTTTTTTAAGTATTTTATATTTGGCATTTTAAATGATTACCCAGCCCTGAATGCTTCTAACAGACTCTAATACTAACAATAAAAATCTGGAATTTTTCAAAGAATATTCAACAAGAATAAATGCTTTCCATTTGCTGGATTCACCCTGCATCCGATTTTCGTCGTACGACGCTCACGACGCTCTCCATCCAATCAGAAAACAGGATTCCGATATTACGAAGCAAAATTCATCGGAATCCTGTTTTCTGATTGGTTGCAGTGTGAATCTAGCAATTTAGTAACACAACTCGACACAAACATCGAATCATTCTTTCTTGGAGTTCTGGATCATTCTTTCAGTGAGTAAGAAAGATAGAACGACACTTGTATTAATTTTTGTTCAAAGTTGGAAAGTACCCTTAACCGTAATACATATCACATATTTCGACTTGGATATTTCATATCCATTACGTTTATAATTACGTATTTAATACATTATATTTGATATGAAATGAAACGCAATGTAAATGCAATATCGCGTCGTTCAATTCAAAATTTTAAACGATTCGCGCGATTTGGAGACAGGGGTGTGAAAACGTGAAGTTAGCAGGGGTTCACAGCGTCGTTGCACAGATTGCGCGTCACTTCGCCGTGTTCCCCGGCTAGCGGAGCAGTAGACGGTCATTTGTGAACATTTGCTAATGGATACGCGGTATCGTTTGATACGTGATTTGTTCGCGGCATTTCGTCCCATTGAAGCCTAAACTGGCTTGAGCTCGACGATATCGAATCGACGACTGACTACTTTGACAGTATCAAATAGGAGAAACGTGACAGCGCGAGCGGGACTTTCGCCTAACCTATACAGTATGCCTATAAACGATGTTGATGTCGGCTCGTATCTAGATATTATCTCTTTTTATTTCTTTGCCCGTTTCGAGGTTTATTTTATCCTCTACTATATTCAAGGCACTGCTCGTTTTTGTTAAACATATTTTCAAGAATCCATCACTGTATCGTATGTTCTTTTTGACAAAGAATATAATAAATATGATAAGAATGTATTAAAAATAATATTTATCTTGTGTGTAGTTAATCACATTGTTAAATTTCTAGATGATATAAATAAGCATCTTGTTATAAAGTTGCAAATATTTTATTAATAAAGTTTATCATGCATTTCTAGATATCCTCACTGGACGAGCCAAAAGTGATAATGGATTCCACCGACGATCCAGTATCTTCAGAGGATATTGGTATTGTATTTCAACCAGAAACTGTGAGTAACTCTGAGAATAAAGGTGATACTGAAAGCTGTATTGAAAAAGTTGTAGAAAATAAGGAATCTGAACAATCACAGTTTGATAAAGATATTTTAGAAGTGCTTGATGAAACAAAAAAACTAATTAAAGAAACTACAATAGCCTATGAGAAAAACTCATATATATCAAACGTGGAAGCGAATGATTCTAATACATGTTTAGAAATCACTGAGGAATACAATACAGAAATTGAAGCAGCAGTTAAAGTAACATTATCTGAAGACAGTAGTGAGGTTGAAATGATCAAAGAGAATAATGCAATCGAAACAACTGAAGAAAATAATACAGTCGAAACAACCGAAGAAAATAACACAGTCGAAACAACCGAAGAGAATAACGCAGTCGAGACAACCGAAGAGAATAACGCAATCGAAACAACCGAAGAGAATAATGCAGTCGAAACAACTGAAGAGAATGGCGCAATCGAAACAACCGAAGAGAATGGCGCAGTCGAAACAACTGAAGAGAATGGCGCAGTCGAAATAACCGAAGAGAATAACGCAGTCGAGACAACCGAAGAGAGTAACGCAGTCGAGACAACCGAAGAGAGTAACGCAGTCGAGACAACCGAAGAGAGTAACGCAGTCGAAACAACTGAAGAGAGTAACGCAGTCAAAACAGCCGAAGAGAATAACGCAGTTGTAACAACCGAAAAGAATAACGCAGTTAAGACAACCGAAGAGAGTAACGTAGTCGAAACAACCGAAGAAAATAACGCAATCGAAACAATTGAAAAGAGTAACGCAATCGAAACAATCGAAAAGAGTAATGCAGTCGAACCGATAGAAGAAAGTAACGTAGTTGAAACAATCGAAGAAACTAATGCAGTTGAAACAATGGAAGAGAATAACACAGAAACAACTGAAGAGAATGTTGCAATTGAAAGTTTCTGTAAAGAAAACGAAGCGATTCATGTAGTTGCGGAAACGACAGAACTAGATATATCCAATTTAACCGATATATGTGACCCAGAGATTTCATTAGCTCTCAATGACTCTTGCAAAGTTCAAAATGATACTGTAAATGATAATAGGAAATCTGCTAATGATGTTGCAGACGAATCTGAAACATCGTCTAAAGAAAATACTAAAGATTGTGATATCCCAGATGAATCAAGTAATAATGCTGATGACGTGCAAGTGTTACAGACTGAAGCTGTATTGGAGAAAAAAGTGGAATCGGAATCTTCAGACAGTAATCTAGAAAATTCTGAAAAGGATGTGTCCGAAAAGAACATTGAGCCCGAAAACACAGAGTTTATACAATTCCCTCATGACAAACAGGACGATTCTCAGATTGAGGGCCAGTCTATGGACGCGGAGGATCCATTTGGCGGTGACAATCTTACATCTGAAAACGTGGAACAGGCGGAAACCGACAGTCTCGAGAACGGGCTCAGTTTTAAAAAGATATATGAACAAGGCAATAATTTGCAGGACGCGGTAAATGCTAGAAATAATGACTGTAATGAGAAACTTAGTGCCGATTCTGCGTTAAATGATCCAAAGGATACTGATGATGCTATCGATAAAGATATGGATAATATTGCTGAAACATCAAATAATGTACAAACTACCATTGATACTCTCGAAAATATTTCAATGGACATTGATCTTCCGGGCACTAGTACGTCAGAAACCGGAGCGGGAAATATGTCCTCTACGAAATCACACGATGGACAAGATGGGCAGGCGAAAAAAAATATCGAAGAAATTACACCGATGGAAACAGACGAGGAGCAGACCGATGTATTACCAGGACAAGATGACGAATTATGTATCATTCCAGATAGCATGAAAGTAATAATACCAAATAAGTCTGGTAAAACAATAGACGACGATCAAAGCGAATCTGTAGTTCCTAAAGATTCGGAATGCGAGGAAACAACACAGAAAAGTAGCAAAACTAATTCCGAGCCTCAAAAAGATATTTCACAAAATGAATTAGTAACTTCAAATGAAAATGAAGCAGAAAGTACCGTAAAGCAAAAAGCAACTGTTCCAGATAAGTCAGCAACAAAAAATTTAATTCCAGCAACGGATGTTATTAATATTGATGATGAAAAAACTTCAGAAGTGGAAGAGATTGGTAGTAAAGAGACATGTAAGCAATGTGGTGAAGAAAGAGCATGCAAAATTCAGGTGAAATTTGGTACAGACAATTATCTTGTATGTTCGAAAACGTGTAAGGCATTATTTAAAGCAGCTAATAGTAAAGTAATCAATATACTAACCGAAGACACCAGCTCTAAACGAGAGAAGCGTTGTGCGTCTTGCTTATTAAATATAGATGCAAAGGACGAGCGAAATCTTTCCTGGGAAACAATGGAGTTCTGTAATGAGGAATGTTTAGGAAAGTTCCAAAGAAAGTATGGAAGCTTCTGTAAAAATTGTAACGGTACAGTTCAAGCCGTGAGTTTAGGGAAATACTGTGTGAGATTTGGATGTGACGTAAGGCAGTTTTGTTGCTCGACATGTTTAGAGGAATTCAAAAAGGGTTTAAAAGTGTGTAGTTACTGTCAGAAAGACATAAGTTTTAGCACAGACGGTTTTCTTGCACCAGTAGGAGAGAAAGGGCAGTTTAAAGACTTTTGTACCCAGGACTGTATGGAAAAATATTCGAAATTGAATTCTACGGAGCCACCAGCTACAGAGAAAAAGCCATGCAGTGTCTGTAAGGAGGTAAAATAATTTTTCTGCTCTTCATTCGCTAAATTTATTATAGATAATTTTTTAAATATCATGTAATTTTTTTCTTTTTCATAGGAAAAGCTTGTACACTGCGAAGTTCAAATATACAATAGTACTCCAGTAGCTATATGTAGCGAACCTTGCTTTGCTGCATTTAAGTTTGTGAAACAAGTCAAACCTGAACAATGCTCTACCTGCAAAAAATTTTTTGAATTACCTAATAAACAACATTTTATTGTGTTTTATGAGAATGAACCTCATACGTTTTGTAACAAGACGTGTTTAAATATATTTATCATAACAAATAGGAAGATAGTTCCATGTAATTGGTGCAAAGTAAAGAAATATAACTTTGATATGATTAAAAAGGAATTGTCAAAAACGGGACAAACCCTGATGATGTGCAGCTTAAATTGTTTAACGTTATATCAGGTATTTTATTACTTAAAATAAAGCTGGCTTCAGACAACATGGTCACTGTATACATTTGGTCACTGTCATAGTCAAGTAATAAACGTTGGTCTCCTACGATGTGTTTTAAAAAAAACTATAATACTTTTATGTCTTCCAATGTCAACATTGGCAATATACGATTCTAATGGACCACATTTATTTATAGGACAGAGCCAATGTCACATAAGCCAATGTTTACACACATTAACCATATCGTCTGGAATTGATTTTGATAACAACGTATTATTAGATAAGAATAGTATAATTAAAAAATTTGTTTATAGGTTTCCATCAATGCAGTATCTGCAAAACGAATTAACTGTGATTTATGTAAAGAGTATTCTTTAGCGCATTATCATTTGACAATGTCGGATGCGACAATACGTAATTTTTGTTCGTACAATTGCGTCATGAATTTTCAAGCACAATACACTAAGTCCCCTATAACTATACCGTCGAGCGATGATCCCGTGCCTACAGGCTTGCCCAAAAGGACTACATTACCACAGAGAAGTACGAATCAAATTATTTCCAACGAGATACAAAATAAGAAAACCATGCCCGTTATTTCTTCCGTAACGAGCTTAGCTACAATAGGGAATGGACCAGCAAGTCCGACGCCGCAGCAAAATAGTGTGGTAATGCCTGCGAACGCGAGTCAAACAACACAGATGGTATGCAAGAAACAAGTGATTACCAGGCCACCTAGTCCAGTGAAAGTGCATAACAAGAGTACGCAGTGCAAGCCTATAGTACATACAAAAGGGGTTTATGTGCGTCCTCATCCTTGCACAAAGGCGACACAAACGACGGAAAACGTTCAACAGGTGGTCATACCCATACCAGTTCCAATTTATGTTCCGTTTCCAATGCATATGTATAGTATGCCTTTCCCAGTTCCAATGCCTTTTCCTCTACCCATTCCTGTTCCCTTATTCATACCTACTACGAGAAACAGTGCTAAGGGAATTATGAAAGATATGAAGAAAATACAAGAAAAAATACCAGCAGATCCGTACGAAGCCGAACTCCTTATGATGGCCGAAATGGTAGCTACCGAAAAAAAGGCCAACGACAGTGATTCGGATTCAGTAGACGATAGGTAAACAATAATATTGTTTACAGATTGGAGATTAGAATATTAGAATGGCTCAACTAATTAAAATTTAAATCAAAGATAAGAAAGAGCAATGAGCCATGTTAGTTGTTCTTGCATTGCATTAATATATTGTTTAATTTGTCTTATCTACATCAGTTAACAGGCTGCAAAGTTATACAATTAAACTCGTTTCATGAATTCAAAACAATTTTCGTCAATTTTTAAAATAAACTTAAAATTCATGGTCTCAGGCTAGGAGCGTGTAATTTAATTCACGTGAAACGAATAAAGAAATGAATAAAGAAAAAACTATTTTTTATGTAATGCAAGAACTGTCGCAATGCCCTTTCTTATCTTTCATGTAAAGTTTAGATTATTTGAATGCAGAACTATCTACAATATTTAATAGCAATATGATGTTTAATTCTGCACAGAATAAATTTAGAATAGAAGGAAATGCATTAATATTTCACAAGATAATATTAACCCTAGCTATATATACACTGGGATCCCAGAAACCTCAGAACAATTTGCTAAATCGAGATTGTTTTGCATTTTTTAACTTTTCTTTTTCTTTCAACCTATATATCTCGAAGCTTCTTAATTCTATCGACTTTTACACATGGATTTGTTCCTTAATCAATTCTCCATCGATTGAAAAAAAAATTAATTGAAATATGTCCATTTTTACGGAAGTTATGACAACAAATATGGATGGGGTCCTACGAACTCAAGTGTGTATATCAAGGGTAGAAAAAGAGTGTGTATAGCTAGGGTTAAGTTGATAATCCGTCTGGCAACCAAAGATACAAAATTATTATATTCATTTGCTTCTTAAAAATTTTATTTCTATTTATCTCACGCATCAAAAGCAAATATTTCTGTTTAGGGAAGATGACACAGCTGATCAAGACAATTTACATAGTGATGGTTTCAGTCCAGAAGCAGTTGATTCCAATAACGCCTTTGGAGACGACATGTTACAAATGGCGTTAAAAATGGCCACGGGAGAAATAGATGAGCCAGCAGTCGATTTGGAAGCTGCCTTGACGCCGAATACGATTACAGCTACGCAGGCACCACCAGAAAACGCTTTGGACAACGATGGTATGTAATGTATCTTAAAAATGAATTAACATGATATATTAATAATCATGTTTTATCATTTACTGTTAAAATTAACATTTTTTTAACTCATACGTTTTTCAGTACAATCGGAACGACTAATGGTTACCTCTAGAGGAAGAAAACGTGTTGTTCCATACAAACCTCGATCAACACCAGCCAAACGGATGAGACGTGTCTCTGGTACAAATGATATGCCATTGATGCCACCGCCGGAATCACAGCCACCTCCGCAGCCACGCATTATGGAACCAATAGAAAAACCTGATGCTAATATGGCGTTAAAATATACATTTGGTGTAAATGCATGGAGACAATGGGTTCGTAATTGTTTCTTATTTATATGCACGATAACGAGACAGAAATATTACTATGGATTTTACTAGGTATTTTAAAAATATACAGGTTGTGGGAAAGAATGCCGAATTAGAAAAACAAATTACAACGACGAGAAAGATAAAGTTGTTCAAGACAGATCTCTTACAACTTACTGCGGACGAGTTAAATTATTCACTATGCCTCTTTGTGAAGGAAGTGAGAAAACCGAATGGTGCAGAATATGCTCCCGATACAATATATTATCTTTGCTTAGGTAAATCAACTTTTGAATAATACAAGAATCAGCAATTACAAATATACCAGATAGAATAGAGCTAAGTTAGTCCATCATTTTTAACCTTAAAGTAATCAAGAAACACGGTAGTGTCTCGCGCCAAGTATATGCGTCCGTACTGGGCGCAGAAGACACTACAGTGTATCTTTACCTGACCCGACGAGTTGACCGGGTAAACTATGTTCATATCTAAATAACGCGTAGGCAAACGAAATTTTTAAGGTGAATAAGGTTCAATCGATAGCACGGGGTCCCATTATGTAATAAAAGTATCTTTATTTTTTTTTTTATAAATTTAAGGCAACAAACAATATCTTTTTGCAGTAATGTACTTGTAACCAGGGAATGGAAGTAACTCGTTACTTGTAACGAAGTTACGGTTACAAGTTACTTTTTTGGTAACTTTACTGGTAACTGCGTTACCTTTTTTTATAACGGTAATGTAGTTACATTTTTTTGGTAACGGTAACGAATTTTACAATTACTTTTATCGTTTACATACGACTGGACACGGTTTGATTGAACACGAGTCACTCATAGCGCTTGAAACTAAAAAGCCCCTAGGCATCCGTCCGCTATAATTGGTGATTGTCGATTTTAAAAAAGATTTTAAAAAACGAAAAATTACTTTCTCAAGTAACGATAATTAACGAGTTACTTTAAAAAATCGGTAGAAATGATAACTAGTAACCTAGTTACTCTTTCTACTCGGTAACGAGTATAACTGTAACTTGTTACTTTTAAAAAGTAACTTTCCATTCTCTGCTTATAACTACCTTGAACAATCATGATTGCTTCTTGAAAGTACAAGTATGACCTCTAAATGTTCAGTATACGCTACTCAGAAACATGGACAATATCGTGAGAAATGGATGAAATAGCCCCGCTCTACCCTATTTTTTTCGTAAACCTTGGTTTTAGTGTTATTCAATATATTTTTTTCATGTACTCGTTCTAGGAATACAGCAATATCTATTTGAAAATCACAGGATTGATAACATATTCACGGATCCGTACTATGAGAAATTTACAGATTGCCTAAACGAGGTAGCGAAAAAGTTCTCTGTACTGTACAATGATGCACGTAAGTGTTTTGCTGTCCGTAATTGCATATTTTTATTTTCATTTTGTCTTTTCGAACACCATGTTGTCCGTTTTGCAGAATACATCGTGACCAGGGTAGAAGAGGAACATTTATGGGAATGTAAACAATTGGGTGCCCATTCTCCACACGTTCTGTTAAGCACGCTCATGTTTTTTAATACGAAACATTTTAATCTTGTGGTAAGTCCACCATGAGATTGGTTAATAAATCATATAACTCGTTATTGTAATATTTTGTTACAGTATTAATAAATATTTCTCGAATGCTTGTCCATATCTTTTTTAGACGGTAGAAGAGCATATGCAACTTTCCTTTTCTCATATTATGAAGCATTGGAAGCGCAATCCAGCAGCTCAACCCCCCACGGCAGTGGCAGGAAAAGTTCCTGGCTCAAGAAACGTTCTTCTGAGATTTTATCCGCCACAATCAGCTCTTGGTTAGTTATAATATATTCACATATATACCATAAAAATTTTAGTTAATGCTGATTTATATTTGTACAAATTATTTATTATTTCTTACTTCTTTTTAAAGAAGCTAATTCACGGAAAAAGAAGGTATATGAACAACAAGAAAATGAGGAGAATGCATTGAAATGCCCTGTTAAGTTATACGAATTCTACTTGTCGAAATGGTACGTATACATATTATGACTGAACAAACAAAAACATTAAATTTAATTTATTGCGTAAATTTGGATTACTATGTTACACTATCTTGCATTTGAAATATTTCAGTCCTGAAAGCGTTAAGACGAGAAATGATGTCTTCTATCTATTGCCAGAACGCAGTTGTGTTCCGGATAGTCCGGTATGGTACTCGACATCGCCCCTTGCGAAGGAACAACTCATCAAAATGTTATATCGTATTAAAATGGTTAAAGAAATTAATGTAGCTTTACTAACGAGTTAATTTAATCTATTAAAAAATGATCTCTTATATATTGTTAAGGTAGAGTAAGTAAAAAAAAAGCAAAAGAAGGAAGACTTATCTATTTTAACACTTTGACACTATCCAAAAATCGGAGTTAACTCCGAACTCTGCAGTATATATATTTCGTTAAACAATATTGTATGTTTATTGTAAAAATGAAATCTCTTAAATATTTTTCGTGAGCACGTATCAATATTTAACTTGTATTCTTACAGATACAGAAGAACATTTTTCTTAACATGCATGTATAATGAGACGTTGCTTGTGCTTACCAAGCACAAGATGTTAGGTTTTTGCCAAGATTTTTGCCTTTTGAAATGTATGTACGCAGAGTGTTAAAATGGTGCAGAAGAACGATGATTATAAATCGGACAGTGCGATATAGAAATATAGGATTAATTGAGTTTTCTAATTTCTATTGTATATTTTTCACTTCCCAATAAAAATTAACTCATCGATGATTAAAAACTTTACGAAATTATGAATTATATATTATATATATGTATATATATGTATGCATATTATTTAAACTTTATATTCACTAAATGTAAGTATTTCTGCAGAAAATCTATTTATCTTTTTTTACCTTATAGTTAATACTAAAAATCTTTATTTAAAAATTTAATAATTAATATATATTAAGTGAAAATAGACCTATAAGCTTAAACACATGAGTGAAAAACATATTCAATCAAGGCAATCTTTCGTGCCTAATAATATTTCTTATGATTTTATATAATTTCCAGATCAAGCTATTGTTTATTTGTCGATTTGAAACAGTCCTAAACTGAAGCAAGAATAGTAATATCACAAATTAAATTGATAAACAATTTAATATTATTGTTGCAAGTAATGATTTGATGTTAATAAGCATCTTAACCGAAATAATTGACGTACAGTTAACTTGATCTGGAAATTGTATAAATTTACAAGAAATATTAGACATGAAGAATCTACTTAATCAAATATGGAGTTTTTCACTCATGTGAATTCAATAATTGTATAAAATCCTAATTTTGTCTATGACACTGAATTATGATACTGAATTATGATAATGGAGCGGATATCATTACAAAGATACAGAATTGTAATAAAAAACAAATACATTTATTTCATTTTAATTCCTTATATAGATTGAAAAATGCTGTACATAATCAAAAATTCACCCAGTTTTTTGCGGACGTACGAAAGCACGCTTGTGTTTTTGTCTATGTCTAGTAATTTCCACTTCGTGTAATTTTGTATGCACTTCATTAAATATTTCATTTTGATCCTCTTCGGGGATAGTTTCCCTAAATAAAAAGATATAAATTAGAACGAATCTTAAAAAAATGTAAAGTATTATAAAAAGATAAATGTGTCCTGTTTTCTTACCGGTATTTTTTCATTAAATCGTACTTTTCCCAAGGTGTTGCTGCAGCTTTAGCTTTTCTAATGCGTCTCTCAGGAAGCTGTAATTCTGTTATACCTTTCAACTCTTGACGCTCCCATTTCTCTAACCATGGACGAGGATTAAGCTGCACTTTGATCTCATTCACAGGTACCGATGCACCTTCTAGCAGATACTCTGGTTCCATGTCGAAAGGGAAGGTACTATATTCTGCTGGTGCGTCCCGTAGGTATCGTAGATGTGAATCCAATCTTCTTTCAAGCCTAAGTATGTATTATGAATAGAATCGAAAAAAACACTTCAGAGCAATTTATGTAAATGACTGTGTATAAAAAAAGAAACAGCTTTGCACACACAAATGTTGTGATTTTTAAATATGATTAGTTCTTAATTAATCTTATGATTAGTCCCTAATTCTTCATTGGATTTGAATGTATAACCAATTATGTCAAAGAATCTTACAACAGTTGCAAAGTTGTCTGTTCTGCTGAATGCAGCCAATAATTATATTTACCTAAGACATTCTATCTTCTGTATTGCAGGATCATATAACTCGTAGATTACTTCGATTCCTTGGTTATTAACCATGTTTCTCAGCACACATGTAGCTCTCAAGCCAGATCCTTTCCTCTCGATGCATATGCCAACAAACTTATTAACCTTTCCAGGAGCGTGTGGTTCAGAATAAGTTACAGCTAGTACAGAACCAACATAGAACTCAGGTATCGCTACATGTGTGCGTCTTGCCAGCATATCCATGCGCTCCAGTTTTTCTCGGAGTAAGTTACGATACTTTGGATCTGGATCTGGTAAAAATTCTGGATAAATGAATCGATACCTATTAGGTATCGCTTTCCTCTGTTCAATGTTTTGTTTTGCTTTCTTATTATTTTGTGATTCTTGTACTGAATCTTGAGTGATCATGGAGGAGTTTCCTCTAACTGCATAGCCTAAAAAAACAACTTTGTATAGCCTTAATAATTGAAACTCTTATACATGTGACAAGGACAAAGTCGTGTTTTGATATTGTTATATAACAACCAAAATCTTCAACATCACAAAAATTTTAGAGAAGGTAAAAAGAAATGAAAAAATTTAGAAATAAATGAATGGCACAAAGTAAAAAATATTTTTTTAATTGTGAAAATTTATCTCAAATGTGTTTATTCTCATTTTAATCATAGTGATATCCCCATTATAATAAATCTTTTAAATAATCTTTTAAAACGATAAAATAAAAAATTAAAACTTTAGAAAAATGTAAGGTTTCACTTTTGTGAATGTTGTTGTTGCCGGTATCTAACAAAAAAATTATGTTGTGCGTTGAAACATGTATCTAATATAATTTAACAAATTTGTCTCGTTATTGTGCAGCAAATTGAGAAAGATTGAAAAAGCACAGGATAGAATGTGATCAAAATCTAACATAACCTACGTATTATTTTCGCTGCTTGCAGTCCATAACCGCGAGAGAAAATCCTTGATATCACAACCATTGTTTTAATCTTCTATTATTATTCTCGTACATTCAGTTAGACACGCACAAATCTTTCTTTCTCTTTTAAAAAAAATAATTATTTTTATGAAGTCCGGTGTTTAATTCTAATCATTCTAATCCTCTATTTGCTTCCATTAAAGTCACTAAATTTCTTAAAGTACCGCAATTGATTTCAGAAATAGATCTGTTCGCGTTACTTGAAATCCCTAAAAATTTTTGAACTTAAAATGAGATAGATATATATTTGGACGTTGAAAGGAAAGAAAGCGAAGATGCTGAGTGCAAAAAGTGCATGCAACAGACCTAATGTTGCGTCTGCCATAAAATGGCCGAAGTGCACAGAGTACACAATTTCAAGCATGGTGATTGGTGGTTCATCTTTTAAACTGTACTTACATGTCCCTTCGTGCACTTTCATACACTAAACTTCTACATACAAATAAATCCGTATTAAACTAAAGAACACATAAATTAAGTATTCATACATATTTTTTAATTTATGAATAAATTAATTACAATTAAAAAACATTGATTTACATACTTGACGGCTTCATTTTCCTAAATAAAGTACATATATACAAATGCATAAATTCGAAATGGCCGCGTTTTGCGTCAAAATGAATGCGAGTTTGCGGTACTTTAGAAATTTAGTGACTTTAGCTTCTATTACAGTGAAGCGCAGAATTTGACGGCATATTCGAGAAATTCGTATAATCTGTCGGTATTGCAGAACATTCGTGACCGATTAATAGGAATTCTCATGAAAGTTAAAGTTATTAGAAAAACATATTTTGCAAGAAGTAAATAAAATGAAACTAAGCCGCTAGTTCAAATGTTTAAATTTAGGGGCTAAATTGACGATATTAGATAAACGTATAATAGAGACTCTCTAATAAGAGTCGCCACACTTTTTTACATACCAGAGTATTGATTGTGTATAAAATAAAATTATAAATATTTCAGTAAACTTTTGTTCACTTTTGTAATTTTAACTTTGTATCAAGATACATGGCACGATAAAATCTTTAAATTTTTTAAATAATTTTTGTAAGAAAAAGATGTTAAACTAAACAATTCTTCTCGCATGCATTATTTCGACACGTAATGTAAAGAAATTCATTTGTTAAAATTGTTATCTTTAAAATATCTAATTTTAATTATATTGTTGAAATTTAAAAGTAATATATGAGAAAAAAAAATTTAGATATACAAATACAGGGCGGGAATTCTTGAAACACGGCAGATCAATCAACGCGTGACTTTCTCATGTCGTGCTCTTATTAGAGAGTCTCTGTTTTTATCATATAATAAGAACTCTTACATATCAAATAAATAAATAACACAGCTGATAAGATCACTTGGATCAATATTATAAGTACGAGTATTTGGCATAAAGTTGTCATATTGATTTAGGTCCTATGCATAATGGAAATAATATTAAGAACAGGAATTATTATTAAATATTTATTAAAGAAATGAAAAAATTAGGAATAGAGACATAATATATGTCTTATTTTTATTTGTCTATTGTGCGTTATGTTTATAATCTCTATTTCTAAATTTTATTTTATTTTTCTAATATTTAAGAAGTAGGAGATACGGTACGTGAAGACAATTATAATGCAATGCACAATTACAGATCTCCGTAGCTTCATAAAACATAAGTACAAAAGTCTCATTACAAAATAATATTGCTTTTATGAGATAAAATATAGTTGAAGTCCATTATATTATTTGCACTGTGAGTAAAGAGCAGATAATTTTTTATTTATTATAACATAACTTTGTTATAATATTTTCATTATAAGATTTTTACAAGTGAAATTATAAGATTCAGATCTGTAAAGACTCTCACACAGCTTCATAAGAAATAAGCTGAAAGAATAAAAATATGATAAAGTATATAATTAATTTCAATATTTAACATTTTATTTAAGTATATTATTGCTAATTGTATATAATTAATTTTAAAACTTACTTGAAAATAAAAATCTTTTATCTCAATATAATCTTTTTAAGTCTCCCTCTTTATAATTCTAAGATTTCAATATTTGAAATATTCAATATGTGAAATTCAAAGAAACAGTCATTATTTATTACAAGTTAAAATTTTATTTCATTTCTTATTGTTATTTTCATGTTTTGAAATTACTGTTGTGTTATAATATTTTATCTGAAAATAGTGATTTTCGAGTTATTAGCGACACTTGTTTTACTTAATTCTATCG